GCCCTGCAGCCTGGCCAGCTCTCTGGAGCTCCTGTCTCAGGAAAAGCGTGTGGCGCTCAGCAGGCAGGGTGGGGTCAGGAGCCATAAGAACATCAGAGCGGCCAGGCTGGGTCAGACCAAGGGCCCATCCAACCCCATGTCCTGTCTGCCCACAGTGGCCAATGCCAGGTGCCCCAGAGGGAGTGAACAGAACAGATCATGCCCTGCAGCCTGGCCAGCTCTCTGGAGCTCCTGTCTCAGGAAAAGCGTGTGGCGCTCAGCAGGCAGGGTGGGGTCAGGAGCCATAAGAACATCAGAGCGGCCAGGCTGGGTCAGACCAAGGGCCCATCCAACCCCATGTCCTGTCTGCCCACAGTGGCCAATGCCAGGTGCCCCAGAGGGAGTGAACAGAACAGATCATCCCTCCCCTGTCTCTTACAAACAGAAGCTAGGGACACCATCCCTGCCCAGCCTGGCTAGTAGCTGGCTCCATCAATCTAGCTGGCTCTTTTTGGAACCCTGTTAAAGTCCTGGTCTTCACGACATCCTCTGGCAAGGAGTTCCACAGGTTGAGTGTGTGCTAGGTGAAGAAAAACTTCCTTTGGTTTGTTTCAAACCTGCTGCCTATTGATTTCATTTGGCAACCCTTAGTTCTTGTGTTATGGGAACAAGTAAATAACTTTTCCTAATTTCCTTTTTCCACGCCATCCATGGTTGTATAGACCTCTATCCTATGCCCCCTTAGTCTCCTCTTTTCTAAGATGACAAGTCCCAACCTTATTCCTCTCTCTTCATATGGGACCCGTTCCAAACCCCTGACCTTTTTTGTTGCTTTCTTGTGAACCTTTTCCAATGACCCACAAGAGAATTCACCAGGGGCTGCGTTGGCTTCCCTGGTTATCCCCAGCCTTCCTCCTCCCCGCCCCCAGCACGTTTCCGGACAAGAATGACACCTTGCTCGTACCAGGGAGAAATGGTTTTGTCACCCACAGACTCACACGGAAACGGCTTGGCCTTGGGATCAAAGGAGAGTTTCACTTTTCCCTGGCAGCTCCATAAACGGCGGCAGGATCACAGAGCAGCCAACTCCCAAGGGAATGTGAGTGACTCTAGGCAAACATCCGCGCCTGGGCAAGGACGTGCACTTTCCGGCTGGTTTCACTGTTTGCTGTTCCTGGGGGCTGTTTGAGCTGCAGTGGGTGGAGAACCGGGCCCAGAGGCTGGGTAGAAATAATGGCTCACAGCAGCACGCAGCTCGCCGGGCGCCTCCTAACCGTGGCATTGGGGGGCAGAGCAGAAATCCCTCCTGGGCCCATGGCAATGAGCTGTCAATCAGTCAGCCCGCGCATCCGCTCCTCGTGCTTCAGCCTTTTCGCCTGCGCGCAGGAAAATCTGCCACGCTGCCAGGTTCGGCTGGGACGCGGGGTCGTCCTGGGGCTTTCGCTGATGCCCACGTTTCCTGGCCTCGCACCGGAGCGGCCCCAGACGGTGGCGGGACTCCTGGGGCCAGCAGCAGCTCGCTCGGCAAAGGCCTGGCTCCGTTCGGTCTCTGCTGCAAACCCAGGGCGCGCCCCAAACCCCGCCCTGTGGCTTGGAGACCGGTTACTGCTGACCTGAGCGACTGCCCTCCACCGGGGCAGGGTCTTCCATGTAATGTGTCAATCAGAGAGTGCGAGGTGAGAGAGGACAAAGGCCCACGGCATTGTGGGATACTGGGGTCTAGTGGTTACTGGGGAGGGCTGGGAGCCAGGACTCCTGGGGTCTCTCCCCCACTCGGGGAGGGGAGTGGGGGGGT